AGTCAACTAAAGGGCTAATGATAATTAACATTTATTTATTTCAAATGGCAGGCGTTTTGATAGTTATCATTAGCCCTTTAGTTGACTTCGGGCTTCACAGAGGGAAGGAACAACAATGTGACAGAAAGTCGAGGGGTGGTGAACAGAAGAGTGATTTACAGATGTAAAGAGACAGACATGAAGGCAGAGAAAAGGTAGGATGAGGACTGCGCCAGAAGTCAATCGCCAGTTAATAGACTTTTTTGCCGTATGAGTATACCTTGCCCAGGGTGCACCACGTGGAGGTAAGTCTATCACGCACCCCATGATAATTAACATAAAGCCTGCCATTTGATATAAATAAATAAATACCTTTAGGTGAACTTGATTGAGTACATAACTACCAGTCTGGTGGCTTAAAGTGAAGGAATGAGTGACAGTTGAATGCAGGAAGTTGAAATCTTCAGATAATAAGTAATTTATCCACCTCCTACGCTAGAAATGAAATAAATTTATGCTATATAGAGTGCTATTAATTGACCTTGAGTTTACTGTAGTTGAAAACATTTCTAGTATTTTTGTCAGGCACGGTGGGATAAAATTATCCTGGTGGCCGTGAAAGTCATTTAGCCACATCAACAAACTGCCCATGTATCTATGCCGTTTGATCACTGATTCATATAGTGGTGAACGAAGGGCGGAAATAACGCTCGCGTAGTACTAACGTTGAAGTAAGTGAGAAAAGGCGACCTTGAGCAACATGGCCTCCCGAGCGTTGTCTATGCTACCTAATTGAACCAATTGTAAGACTGAGCCTCCCAGTAAGTTTCCAATATTAGTCTACCTTGCCATTACTATTTTTTAACCCTATGTGGGCGATATTCGAAGCGAACTGATTGGTTGATTCATTCCAATGCTGGTCATACCATTTGTAGGCCACTTTTCTTCAAATTGTCGCATTAGTAATTTAATAACAGCTAATAAAAACTGTGAAATAGCGAGAAGGCCAAATTTCACGCCTCTTATCTCAACGCTTTTTCGTATGAATTGATGTTTTGAAATGGCAATTCAAGTTTATTTTCCCATACAGCACCTCAATGGTTCCTTCACTTCATCAATATGTTCGTTATAGGTGATTTAAAAGCTGTTCTAAATATCTTTCAAGAACACAGGGGATTTAAGCTACATCAAAGGTTTAGGTCAGATCTCCTATTTGAAATGAAAATAGTAGTTGAAAAAAATCAATTTCCGGTCATAACTAAACTCGGTATATTACTTTCTTGCGAAAAATGTTGGGGGTGAACACAAGGCTGGCATGATTTAATCATGATCCATCGAGCCTTCTGAAATATGCAGCGTGGTGACGATCACGTTAGGGTCGAGAATGTAGAGACCACCCAACCAATCAACAATCAGTAATGACAGCACAACTGAAATAAACGCCCTTCAAGTCAAATGTGGTGTTCCATCAAATAGTGATTTGGTAGATTAGATAATTGAGCGTGGGATTTTTCCATAGAGAATGATGGGGATTAATTCTAGGCTTATTTTGTCTAGCATTCTGCTACAATGGGTACTCACTCTGTATTTCGCAAAAGTTACTTTCCAGCACTCAAATTAAACTTGACTCCTATTTAATTTTTCTACTCGTTTAAGCTCAAACATACATATTAAAAGAGCTTATGCAATTTTGTAATAAGCCGTATCAATTTAACAAATTGTTGTTATTCTTAAACAAAGGGACCTAAAAGTTGAAATCAAATGACCTTATTGGTAGTTGATCAGTTCACTAAGTAAACAAGCAAAAAAATCTGTGCACCACTGAATTTTAAAAATAAAATTCGGTTAGTAAAAGAACTGGTTATGGTTAGACCTAATTAGAGAGGGAATGAAACTTTGTTATAGTGCATTTTCTCTACTTTTCGTCTTTAAAGTCAATTCTACTTCAACAAAACATATTACTTTACGGTCCTAAATGACGCAGAATATAATAGTGATTTCTGAGTCGGTCAGGCTTTATTAGAGTAGCGATCCGCTACAAATTGGTGACCCTGACGTGATTGCCAAAACCTGACCTCAATCGCTCAGCAGAAAACCAATCTCTCACTGGCTACGGGATTTCCTTTCCTCGTCCCTCAATTCCCTCGGTGACCTCTTTCGCTCGAATGATCATCACCTTACGTCCGCTGCCGTTTCTCACGACAAGTCAGATCATGACTTCCGCTCAACAGAGACTCCATCTCCCGTCGGCGACGCGATTGTTCTTCGCATCGCTCTCCTCAACTGATGGTTCCTTTCCACAAACAATCAGCACCTCAACGGCTCCCCAACTGTCTCCTATCACTGGCTATGACTCCCACAGAACGCTCTTGGAAGCAGTCAACAGACGGAGTACGTTGCTCTTCGAAAGCCTACCCTTACAGGTCCCCGAAACTCCAACTCACAACAGCATTTCAACCGGCAAGCCAAGACCTATCGTCAGGCAAGCACACGCCGGAAGATTTCGACCATGGATTGTCGCAAACAAACGTCCGTTCAACAAGNGTTCCTTTCCACAAACAATCAGCACCTCAACGGCTCCCCAACTGTCTCCTATCACTGGCTATGACTCCCACAGAACGCTCTTGGAAGCAGTCAACAGACGGAGTACGTTGCTCTTCGAAAGCCTACCCTTACAGGTCCCCGAAACTCCAACTCACAACAGCATTTCAACCGGCAAGCCAAGACCTATCGTCAGGCAAGCACACGCCGGAAGATTTCGACCATGGATTGTCGCAAACAAACGTCCGTTCAACAAGTACGTTGAACGCCGATCATTGCATATGGAGGAACAACCAACAGGACTCTCGTCAGTGGACTAAATACTGCCTCACTCGCTCAGCCGGCAAGGTCCACAAGCATGCACGAAGTCCGCAACCCTACTGCCTCCAACTCCAACAATCCGGTCTCAGCAGTTCCAACACCTATCCCACCTCTACCTAAAACCCTATTACACTCTCCACGACCGAAAAGTTCCTACGAACGCTCTAGAGGGGGAGTATTGTGGGATAGATCATAAATGACCAAATAGAAATCCTGCTATATAACCCTACTCAGAAATATTTTAGCTATTAATGTTCACACGAATTGTGCTAGAGTTATCTGATGACTAATCGCTTTGCCAAACTCAACACTTCGCTATCAATATACGTACCGAATAAACGTATTCCGCGCTACACGTCTGCTTCCCTTATAGCTGGGCTATAGCTTAGCTTGTTCTGGGAGTCTACCTAGATGTTGGAGAATCTGCCATAGAGATTTCTGAGTCGATCAGGCTTTATTAGAGTAGCGATCCGCTACAGATCTATCGATAGGAAAACGCGGGCACTATTTTGATGTGGTGGTGTGGTCGTTTTGTATTACATTTTTGCAACAAAGACAAATTTATCAGGAAAGCGAAGAGTCAGTCAGATATTCATAATTGAAAGGTGATGTACTGCAGTAAGTATAGAATTTAGAGAGAGGGTAACTTCACGTTCTATTGTTACTCTTATTGTTTATTGTTTCACAAAAACTTATATTAAATGGCTGGCGTTTTGATAGTTATCATTAGTTCATCAGTTGACTTCAGGCTTCACAGAGGGGATGTGGAACATCAAAGTGAAAAAAGTCATGAGGGGGGGTGGGAACAGAAGAGTGTTCCAAAGATGTAAAAGAGACAGACACAAAGGTAGAAAACAGGTAAGGTGAGCACTGTGAAAGTGGTAGAATATGAAATGCAGTGAGGTCCTGATAGTTTAAAGTCAGAAGTCAACTGCCGATTAATAGACTTTTTGTCGTATGAGAATACGTTGCCCAGAGTGCACCACGTGAAGGTAAGTCTATCGCACACTCCTTTCACAAAAATACTGGTACTGCGTTTGGATATGTTCTTAATATATCCCAAATTTTTTTCGTTGCTTTACTTGGCCTTGGTAATACCTCTTTGTCAATTCCCAAAACCAATGACATCATTTTGAAATAAATGAAGAGGAATTTAAAAAGAATCACCTTTTTTTACGAGTAACACAATTTGTTTTTTGATTTATTTTTCTCTTCAATAATAAGGTTGGGGTCGAAAAATGTCTAATTGGTTTGATTTCAATCTTGAAATCAAAATTGGCTTGGATATCCTTGTCCAGATAGTTTTATTTCATGAGATACGTGAGACCATTCCGTTTAGGCTTGGGTTTCAATACAGGCGGAGGAAAATTGTAGTAAGTATTGGTTTTCAAGGGCAAGGCCGTGTATCTGTTTACTTTCACAACCCTAAAACGGGTTAAACTTTGTATAATGGTAAAAGTAGACCTACCCACGATTTGATACCAATCTTAAATACCAGTTTGTGGTGCTTCATTCATCTAAGGCGTTACAGAGCCGTGGGTTGTCATAAACCATGTCATTGATTAGCCAAACATCTTCTTATAAATAGCCCCAATACTTGGGCGTTAATTCTGTGATACAATCTATGCAAATTTAGCACGCCCACAAGTCACGAGTATTGTGGCTAATTGGAGAAAATTGTATTCGTGTACCTTAACTTGCGAAGTGTACATACAAGTGACTCGTTTTGCTTTAAAGTTCTCGCATTGTGGCGCCAAAACTCGAAAACGCCTATAGCTATAACAATTAGCAGTAGTTGACTGAATTAAAGAAGGAAATCAGTAATTTGAAATAAATATAAAGTATTATTTGTATTTGATCAAGGTGATAAATATTTTAGCTCAACATTGAGCCCAATCCCTAGTTTCTACCAAACTATAATTAGCCAAAGAGTGATGATTCTCACGTCATGGAAGTGTAGTCAAGTGTGGAACTTGCTATTTACAAAAAATTTTTAATTTCAATTACTTCATGAGAGTTGGCAACTTGCATTAGTATTAATAATAAGAAAAGTTTTCAAAATCTAGAATTGCATGAATTGTAATAGGTGTTTCGCTGTGTAATCGTCACTGTGATAAGTACAATATTACAAAGGGGGTGGGCGATAGACTTACCTCCACGTGGTGCACCCTGGGCAACATATACTCATACGGCAAAAAAGTCTATTAATCGGCATTTGACTTCTCACTTCAAACAACCATCACCCCCACTGTATGTCATATTCGTCCCCCTAGCACTACTCATCTTACCCTTTCTGAGCCTTTGTGTCTGTTTCTTTTACATCTTTGAAACACCCTTCTATTCCCCCTCCTGAATTCTTCTCACTTTGATGTTCCTCCTCCCCTCTGCGAAGCCCGAAGTCAACTAAGGGGCTAATGATAATTATCAAAACGCCTGCCATTTGTTATAAATAAATAAATAAATATTACAAAGTTTTGACCAACTGTTACACTTAGATTCAGTCATTTCAAATAGATATTAAAGAAAGTGGGAATTTATTAAAGGGGACAAATGACTAAGTCAATAAGTTGAGTGACCGTGCAGGACAGAGCATGAGTAATACCATAAGCTTCCATTGATAAATAGATATGAGTCTCGAATCAGTTGGAGAGTCCCGATTTAAATTAAGAAAATTTGTTCTGGGAAAAGCAAGGGAATTTATTCGGACCTCTAAAACAAGTAGAAATAATCAATTATCGAAGAACTCATTTAGAAATTATTAAAGCGTACTTGTTCACAAACCGATAGAGATAAGGTAATTTGGTGTTTTACAAATATTCCCCCCCCCTCACCCCCCCTCACCCCC